AATCGAAATCTCGAGGGGGGGGGTGCAAATCGAAAGGTTTGTCCCTGGGCGCCGGGAAGGGTCGCTACGCCTCTGCCTGTTAGTGTAATGCATGCAACCTCTAACATGAAGTCATATGCTAAAACTCTGTAAAGCACACGACACTAACCCAAAACTAATTGTAGTGAATGTGTGAAGGCTGTTGAATTGTGTTGTGCACACGACACACTTAATTAAACTAACCGACACTATCTTCATGTGCCAAGTTCACAGAGACAGCTCAAATCTACTTCATCTACTCTAAGCACTGACCTATTCCAAAAGGATAACTTTTACTTGAATAATATTAGCAAGTATTAACAAGTTCAATAGCTTCTCAGAGAAGAAAATTGACGTCGATTGTGTGTGGTGTCTTTGATAAAAAAATGTCGGAGAGTAAATGATGAATGACACACAGAACAACGGAAGAAATAACTTATCCTCTCGATAATGACGATAAACGTTCTTTGATGTTAAAACGATCAAAATATCGACCACAAAAATCAAATCATTTTTCTTAAGAATTATGGAGCTATGTTTTGTATTCAAACGATCCACATTTATAAAAACCAAATTGTTTTTCTTAAGAATAATGCAGCTATGTTTCATAGACAAACAATCCACATAATATAATAAAAATCAAAGAGTTTTTCTTAAGAACAATACAGCTAATTTTCACTGATATTTTAATATCTAAACTATAATGGTGCAGCAATATCTTGATATTGATTTATGAAGGCGAACGCTATTGATAAATACAAATCATTAAGATTTGAGTTTTTATAAAATGTATTGAAGCTTTCAGAAATGCATTCAAATAAAAATATGAGTTTGAAATTTTAATGAATACATTTGCAAATGTACATCGGCTTTTAGTAATGTATTGAAGATTGAAGAAATCAATTAAGTGAAAATCATTTGATATTTAGAAGACAGTTCATTGTTATAGAAGATGGAGTGGCTATGAATTGATGAACGTTTGGTGTTGGTTTAAAAACAAACAAATCGATATCGATTCGATGTGTTGTGAGCTGTCTTGGCAGGCTGTAACAAGATTGTTTGGTTCTTTAAAGACTTATTGATGTTGTTATTAAAGATTGGCAGCTCACTGAAGTGTAACCAGATGACAATCTTTGAATGGGGACATGCATGGCTTTACATTAGGGCATAGAAAGTGTTGATTACCCAGCCTCCCCCAACCTCTCTCCACTCATACACACATACACGCATACACACATACACACATAAACGGTTACACTCATACACGCATACACGCATACACACATACACACATACACACATACACACATATACACATACACACATACACACATACACACATACACACATACTCACATACACGCATACACGCATACCCGCATACACGCATACACGCATACACTTGTAACACATATGGTTACCAGCCAAGGGGGATAACAAATGATGTTTTGATTCATCGAGTTGCGTCCCCCGTGGGGTCATGGCCCTGTTGACTTATTTGTTGTTTTTTTCATGCTCTTGTGAGCGATGTTACCTGTGTCCCATGTCATGTGACATGGGACTGTGGGTAGTTTCATGCCTAGCCGTGTCAGTCACACGCAAGGCTGCTGTCTGTGGACACGGTGACCAAGATGTAGACCTAACGAAGGTAGAGTAGTTATATAAAATATGCTTGTTAAAATACTTGTGTATTCCTGCTAGTGCTGCATATGCACACTAGTTAGGGTATTAATATAAGTATTTATTTGTAGTACTACTTATTGGTACTTGTTGGCAGTACTGTGTACTGGCCGAAACATATTTTATTTGTACCCGTGTATATTGTAGCCTACACGTGGTGTTGTCAGGAATGTAACTTTTTCTTTACTTTTGTTTTAGGGCTACAGTTTTCTTTTTGGTTACAGTATGATTTTTTGTTTTCTTGGTTTCCTGTTGCATCGCCGTCATGGCTCGATGCTGTGAATAAAGGAGTACTTGACAACAACTGTCGGTGTCAGTGTGTTCTTAATCTCAGGGTCAGCCCGTCTTAACCACAACACCTCAGTGGGTAAAAGCATCCCCACTGAGTGAGGGTTACACACGCATACACGCATACACGCATACACGCATACACACATACACACATACACACATACACACATACACACATACACACATACACACATACACACATACACACATACACACATACACACATACACACATACACACATACACACATACACACATACACACATACACACATACACACATACACACATACACACATACACACATACACACATACACACATACACACATACACACATACACACATACACACATACACACATACACACATACACACATACACACATACACACATACACACATACACACATACACACATACACACATACACACATACACACATACACACATACACACATACACACATACACACATACACACATACACACATACACACATACACACATACACACATACACACATACACACATACACACATACACACATACACACATACACACATACACACATACACACATACACACATACACACATACACACATACACACATACACACATACACACATACACACATACACACATACACACATACACACATACACACATACACACATACACACATACACACATACACACATACACACATACACACATACACACATACACACATACACACATACACACATACACACATACACACATACACACATACACACATACACACATACACACATACACACATACACACATACACACATACACACATACACACATACACACATACACACATACACACATACACACATACACACATACACACATACACACATACACACATACACACATACACACATACACACATACACACATACACACATACACACATACACACATACACACATACACACATACACACATACACACATACACACATACACACATACACACATACACACATACACACATACACACATACACACATACACACATACACACATACACACATACACACATACACACATACACACATACACACATACACACATACACACACACGCACACGCCTCCCACTAGAGGGCGACATCTGTGCTACAACAAAAACCAAAAAACAAATTGATTTTTGAAATACATTATCAGAATAGCATCATTTGAGAAGACTTTGCTTGTCATATTTTTAATAAAGAAATAACTACCAAGCGTTGCTCTGTGTTTAAAAAAAAAACAATATATGTTTTCCCAAAAGTGACAAAATTTTATCTCATCCATCATACTGCAGATACCTTGCCAACAATATAATAGACAAAACCTATAATATAATTAAATACCATTTCTTAAATCAATCACTTTCCCCTCATTACAAAATTAAACAACCCAACGCACAGACTCCTACATATTGTCGTATTTTTAGCGCAATTTCTATACGGACAATTGTGATTATTAACTCGTCATTTCTGGATGGATGGATGTGTGGATGTGTGTCCGCAGCTTTAAGTCGTATCTCCTCCTCAACGAAGCAATATCGAGGACTAGTTCCAAAGCAAATATGTTAAGCAAGTTCCGAGGATGAACATAGGCCAAAAAAATTCCCGGAATTCCTTCCTGGATTTCCCGGAAAAGCCAAAAAACCTCGAAAACATGCAGTTTTTTGCCCATATCTCGGCAACCAGACAACTTAGCGACTTGAAACATTTACCAATCGATTTCTGCCATAATTTAGAACAATATTGCCAATGAAAGTTTTCAAAAATATCCTTTCGTTTGGTCACAAAAAAAAAATTTAATATATTTTAAACTGAGCATCTTGTAGGCCTACTAGAAGAAGCGAAGCGGTGAAGTTCCAAACCAAGCACACCGGCTCAGGCAGTCGCTAGTGAGAGGTAACGTCTACTTGACGCATGTTAATTAAGGAAATTGCGCTTAAATTGACACTAGACTTTTTATTAACTTGTTTTTACTATGTCAATGATCACATTTTAACTAAACACTTTTATGTTAACAATCACATAGAAATGATTTTCAAACCTTATTTCTAGACGTATCACTGAACCCAATCCTAACCATAAAACCGGTTGACGAAAAAAAAAATCGATCTGTCTCGATATAGTTAACCTGGAGTTTATATACAAAGGAATCATTGATTATAATTATTATATGTTCTTCACAGTTATAACCACACTGGTTGTTTTAAAAAATATTTCTTTTCAAATCGCAATCAATGGCATCAAAGTCAATTATTAATTATCTTCAAGGAATCCCAGTGCTCTTTCAAGCGAGTTCTAGTTTCTTAAACATTATTGAAACAACGGTGTGTTAGATGCAAGGGATGGGGGGAGTGCATTAATTTTCATTAGGAGGAAATGGGGGGGGGGGCTGTGTTGTTGTCAGAGCCTAAAGGTCATGAAAATAATTTCAGAGATAAAGGAAAAATTGTTATTCGATGTTTTTGTTTGGCCTTGTTTTGTTTGTATGTCAAAGGTCAAGGTGATGTTAAGTATGGCGGAAATGTTTCAAGATGGTATCGAGTTGTTTTTTTTTTTTTTTTTGTTGACAAGCTTAGGTAGGGCATCACTTAATGGAATTATTGTTAGATAAGATTCGAGGGTTCAGGGGAGGAACGGTGGCTATAACAAAATTGCTCATTACGTTACGAACGATAACACACTACTTTATGGGGAAAATTGAAAAGGGGAGATAATTTGTTTTAAATACAATACATTAAATGCGGTTGCACATAAGTAGGAATATTGTAAGACAAGTGAAATAAAACTGGAATTAATCCACTGACTTCATTATATATATAAATATATATATATATATATATATATATATATATATATATATATATATATATATATATATATATATATTTATTTATTTATTTATTTATTTATTTATTTATATTTATATATATATATATATATCATGCAATGCTAATGAAATCAAAACCTTACCTGCATGGCGTTCTTCAAGTTGACCGTATCCCCTGTCTCAGCCACATATCCTATGACCCCTTGACCCCACGGCACCCGGATGTCTCCGGTGCAGGATGGGAAGATGCTGGTGCCCGCGTGCAGGTCGAAGATCTTGGACACCAGGACGGGTTTCCCGGCGGCCTTGCCCTCGATCAGGTACAACGAGACCTTGTCGGCGTCTAGCATACAGCTGACGTTGGCTACGATCTTGGCACTCAGGCTCTTCAGGTCAAGCTCGTTGGAGATGTCTTTGACGATTTCGAGGAAAAAATCTCGCTCGTTGGTGTCGCGGAGTTCTTTCTTGTGGTCAATGTCTTTACTGGGATAGCGGGGTAGTCGGACCTGGAGAGATAATTTAACACTGAGTTTAAGTATACAGTGGAGTTGTCTTTGTTGGGGTAGTCGGACCTGGAGAGATAATTTAACACTGAGTTTAAGTATACAGTGGCGTTGTTTTTGTTGGGGTAGTTGGACCTGGAGAGATAATTTAACACTGAGTTTAAGTATACAGTGGAGTTGTCTTTGTTGGGGTAGTCGGACCTGGAGAGATAATGTAACATTGAGTTTAAGTATACAGTGGAGTTGTCTTTGTTGGGGTAGTCGGACCTGGAGAGATAATTTAACACTGAGTTTAAGTATACAGTGGCGTTGTTTTTGTTGGGGTAGTTGGACCTGGAGAGATAATTTAACACTGAGTTTAAGTATACAGTGGAGTTGTCTTTGTTGGGGTAGTCGGACCTGGAGAGATAATTTAACACTGAGTTTAAGTATACAGTGGCGTTGTTTTTGTTGGGGTAGTTGGACCTGGAGAGATAATTTAACTCTGAGTTTAAGTATACAGTGGAGTTGTCTTTATTGGGGTAGCGGGGTAGTTGGACCTGGAGAGATAATTTAACTCTGAGTTTAAGTATACAGTGGAGTTTTCTTTGTTGGGGTAGGGGGTAGTCGGAACTGGAGAGATAATTTAACACTGAGTTTAAGTATACAGTGGAGTTTTCTTTGTTGGGGTAGTCGGACCTGGAGAGATAATTTAACACTGTGTTTAAGTATACAGTGGAGTTTTCTTTGTTGGGGTAGGGGGGTAGTCGGACCTGGAGAGATAATTTAACACTGAGTTTATGTAAACAGTGGCGTTGTTTTTGTTGGGGTAGTCGGACCTGGAGAGATAATTTAACACTGAGTTTAAGTATACAGTGGCGTTGTTTTTGTTGGGGTAGTCGGACCTGGAGAGATAATTTAACACTGAGTTTAAGTATATAGTGGAGTTTTCTTTGTTGGGGTAGGGGGGGGGGGGGTAGTCGGACCTGGAGAGATAATTTAACACTGAGTTTAAGTATACAGTGGTGTTGTCTTTGTTGGGATGGGTAGTCGGACCTACAGAATGGAAAACAATATTTTAACAATGAGTTTAAGTAGGCATTGACGGAGTGGCATAGTGGTAGAGAGCTGAACTGCTAACCCGTAATTCTCGAGTTCGAATCCGGTTTCAAGTCAGTAGACCATCCTTGAGTCCACCCAGCTCTGATGGGTACCTAACTCACCGTCAGGCTTGGAAGGGGAACTTTACTTAAGTAGGCATTGGAGTAGTCTATGATGAGATAGCAGGATAGCCACACCAGGAGAGAGTTGAAAAACAATTGAATTTAGAAAGTATACAGCGTAGCTATGTTGTCTTTTACGTTGACAGCGGACATGGATCTTACTGGAAACCGAAATCATTTTACCAATTAGTTAATGTAATTCGTGAAAGCTTCAATGCTCTTTTGGCGTACCAAAAAAAGAGGGAAAAAAAAGATCGTTGTGTTAGCCTAGTCAAAAATTAAATAACTGGACAATAGACGAATGCAAAATTGAGTGCGTGGTTAATACAGATGCACATCAAAGTGATAAGGAACACAAGGACATGAACTGAACTCGTGACCTTTGGGTTAACAATCGTGAACACTGTCACTCGACCACATCTACCCACCTCCGAACATGAAATTTTAAAATTTAAACAACTAGAGTAAATTAAATGTGTTCGCGAATTAAAGCTCAAAATTCTGTACATGATTTTACTCAAAAAAACCAAAGTATCCTGTTCTTAATTAATTGACAAGAACGTGATAAGCTTTCAGGATAAACTGTGTACTCACCATCCTGTTTTGTTTCATACACTGACTTTCACGATAGGAAGAATTCGCGTTACCGTAAGTAAAGGCATTGTGTATTACATGACTCGCTTAGCTGAGAGTCTCTCATTGGCTAGTTATTTATATCTAGAGGACAGATATACCCAGAGGACTCGCATAGCTGAAACACCCGCTTAGCTAGTAGACCGGAAATGTTATATAACCAGTTTAGCTAGCGAACCCTCATCGCTAGGTAGATCGCATATATAGATGACCCGCTTTGCTAGAACACCTAGATAAAAAGATGACCCATACAGGTAGAGGACCCACATACCTAGAAGGCCCACATAGCTAGAAGGCTAACATACTTAAGGACCAATATAGGTAGAGGACCCACATGTCTCTAGGACCAACATAACTAGAGGACACACATACCAAGAGGACCCACATAGCTAGAGGACACACATACCAAGAGGACCCACATAGCTAGAGGACACACATACCAAGAGGACCCACATAGCTAGAGGACACACATACCAAGAGGACCCACATAACTAGAGGACACACATACCAAGAGGAGCCACATAGCTAGAGACCCATACACCTAGAGGACCCACATAACTAGAGGACCCACATAGCTAGAGGACACACATACCAAGAGGACCCACATAGCTAGAGGACACATATACCAAGAGGACCCACATAGCTAGAGGACACACATACCAAGAGGAGCCACATAGCTAGAGACCCATACACCTAGAGGACCCACATAACTAGAGGACCCACATAGCTAGAGGACACACATACCAAGAGGACCCACATAGCTAGAGGACACATATACCAAGAGGACCCACATAGCTAGAGGACACACATACCAAGAGGACCCACATAGCTAGAGGACACATATACCAAGAGGACCCACATAGCTAGAGGACACACATACCAAGAGGACCCACATAACTAGAGGACACACATACCAAGAGGAGCCACATAGCTAGAGGACACACATACCAAGAAGACCCACATAGCTAGAGGACACACATACCAAGAGGACCCACATAGCTAGAGGACACATATACCAAGAGGACCCACATAGCTAGAGGACACACATACCAAGAGGACCCACATAGCTAGAGGACACACATACCAAGAGGACCCACATAGCTAGAGGACACACATACCAAGAAGACCCACATAGCTAGAGGACACACATACCAAGAGGACCCACATAGCTAGAGGACACACATACCAAGAGGACCCACATAGCTAGAGGACACACATACCAAGAGGACCCACATAGCTAGAGGGGACACACATACCAAGAGGACCCACATAGCTAGAGGACACACATACCAAGAGGACCCACATAACTAGAGGACACACATACCAAGAGGACCCACATAACTAGAGGACACACATACCAAGAGGACCCACATAACTAGAGAACCCTCATATCTGGGTAGATGACTCGCTTTGCTTGAACACCCACAAAAATGACCTACATAGCAAGAGGATACACATAACTAGAGGACTTACATAGCTAGTAGGCCGGAAATGTTACATAACCAGTATAGCTAGATGACCCTCATAGCTAGGACCCACATACCCAGAGGACCCATATAGCTAGAGGACCTAAATAGCTGGAGGACCGACATAACTAGAGGACCCACATAACTAGAGGACCCACATATCTAGGGTATTCGTAGAGCTCAGTGGCTCACGTGATTTCCCCTTCGCCAGCTTGCGAGAGCTCACGATTTTTATATAAGATCTATTGAGTCATATTGTCACTGTATTCAACCGACGTCCCTTTCTCAGTTCTTCGTTGATTGAGAAAGTAAATTACTGATGGTATATTGTATAACTAAAATACATTGTCATCAAGTAAATATTGCTTTATTCTGGTAGCTTAAGCCTAAGTATCTCTCAAGTAGTCAGTTCAATCAGACAGACGTAAGATACACATTTAGTGGCGTAGAGAACCAGTAAGGAATGGAAGCTGGTGTCAAGAGGGGGGGGGGAGACAGACATTAAAAAACTATAGTTTTCAATAAATTTCAATACATCAATATATTATCAAAGGTCATGGAAAACAATTCCCAGATTTAAACACACAATCACGTGCCTACGCAAATGGACGTTCGTCTTTAAAAAAATATAAATATTGACGGTATTTTATTTCGTTCACACTTCGTAATAACGCGTATGTCGCTGTAAATTATTAAAGATAGTTATACTTTAAATCCTCCAATCAGGTATTTTGTTTTTCCGTGGACTGTTTCTATTTATAGGCGTTGCTCCATAACTCCCACGTGATGTTATTGCGTATCGATCACGTGACTAAACAGCTATTGATTTAAACACGGCGACCCCCGTTGTTAAAACACTAATTTGCATATTTTATTTATGTACGTTCTTAAAATAGTAACATAGAGTTCAATGCCGGTCATCCTGGTCAATATTATTTTTAATTTTCTCGCGACCAGAAATAAAATGGTTTCCACGCTCTCGTTCTTATTATTGTCGTCTTTTTGAACTACGCATAAAGGTAGCACTATTATTGCTAGTGTCAATGTGGACGAGTATTTAAAACAACTATGAATTTTCATGCATCATTTACACACATACACAAACATATATATATATATATATATATATATATATATTAATATATACAAACATAATTTCAATTGTGTTTCCACAATAAAACGTTACAAATATTTGTATCAGTGATTTCGATATGGCGTACCTTCGTAATCTTCTTTAGTGTTTGAAGGGATCCCCCTCCAATACAATTAAGTGAACATGTTAAATGGTTATGCGCCATTAAGGTAATTGACTACGATTTCTGCCTGATTTTATCTTTTCCATAGACTTTGTCCAACCAAGAACAAGCAGAGCGGCTGCCCCCAGCTAACGAGCCTCAACTGCACGAGGGTTCGAACTAGAGACTTTTCGGTTTAGCAACCATAAGCTTTACCGACTCGACCACCCCGACCCCGGGTTTTATAATCAAATATATAACATTCGTGATTAAAATTAGTTTAGGTAATTCACGACCCATGGGTCAAGTGTAGTAGAGTTCACCTATTAATGTGACCTCGGCATGTTAAGTGATAGTGCATTCAGCACTATGCCCAGCCGTGTTTATTTTCCCTAAAGTGAGTTGGGTACCCATCAGAACTCGGTTGACTCAGGGACATTCTAAAAACCTTGAGCCCAGATAAGAAC